GCTACAGTGATTTAGTGGAGGGTTGTTACACGGACGTGGGCCTTGTAGGTCTAGGAGGTTCAGCTCTGAATTGCTTGAACAATTCTTGTGCACTGCTTAGTTTTTTTACTTTATATTCTGTGTGTTTGCATGAGATAGAGAATCTGTTTTAGCACTAGGTCAATTACTGATTTTTGTGATAGTGCTAAAACATTTCCTGCAACAAATTGTTTGTTTGATCTGCTTGTCTATGATCAGTGCCTGGTTATTCTCGCTGCCCCTACAGAATTTCAAATTTGAACGAAAATTTGAAGGAATTTGACAAAAAAGAACATAAATTTTAAGAGATGAATTTATTTGAATTATGTTTAGTTGTAGTACGCATATATGCTTAATAAGTATGTGTGCTCATACATAAATCAAGCATGTAAAGTTTACACAAAAAGATATGCTATCTTTATTTAATTTCATATGTGTTGTTAAACATGTACTCCCTCCGTCCCAAAAAGAATGGGACGGTTTGACTTTTTGGGAAATTAAGGGAGTGATATTTTGGTATTGACTTTCCAAAAATACCCTTGATGTGATGGGTAAAAGTAGGATGTGATGGGTAGATTATTAAGAAAAAGGTATGATGTGATAGGTAGGGTATGAAAAAGTAAGGGGTAAAAGTGGGTTTTTAATAGAAATGTAACAGACTTTACGGGACACAGTTTTTTCTAAACGTAACAAACTTTTTGGGACGGAGGGAGTATGTGTTCTCACTCATACTGAATCAAGTAAGAATCTTTAAATAAGATTTAATATGACCAGTAAACCCTGACGGCCTCAGCAAGAATGAAACTATACCGAGATAGGAATATAACAATGAACACAGAACATGAGTTGTAAGGATATTCATTTCATTGAGTTGTGCTTAATTATCTTAACACAACCATGCATACTTGTAAAGGGTTTTGGAATGGATTTTAGAAAAAATTGAACTTCTCACTACTCGGCATGTGATAATGTTCTTCTCATTTTCTATTTTGGACCGTTCAGAAATGTTTTCCCCATTTTATTTTTTTGGTAAACTTTTTATACCTAAAAGACATTTCTACTTCACTTTTTACTCTCACCCAATTAAAAGAAACTCTCACTTTTTAAAGTAGAGGCATCCTCGGAAAGTCAATTCTTTTTATAACACTACTCAATAAGCTTGCCAAGTCAACATGGAAAGATTATTCTTGGATGGAGGAAGTATAAAATTGCGAATAGGGCAAAACAGATAACTTGATTAAACTAAAACTTACATTAGAATTGAATTTCATATATATTCCAATCTCAAAGTTAGCTTGAAATACCAAGTTATTCTAATATTATCTTCAACTGAAATCACTTGAAGAATGAAGGGGAATTGGTATTTACGTTTCTTATGAATAAGTTACGAATCCCTACAATTGATGATTGTTAGGGGTGACATTCAATTGATTAGATGAAATAATTCTAAAAATGCTAATATATATTGATCTTTAAAAAATAACCAAACATGAAATTGTTCCAGGATCGACCAAGCAAATCAAGCATTATAATTTTGTTAGGCTGCCGGTTCACTTCGAAAAATTGAATTGAAATTAAGGCTATGAATCGATGTGCCTATGAGCGATGCATTCATCGAAGGCTAATTTGCATTGAAAAATCGATTAGCAAGATTTCCCATATTTGTTTTGGTCGGCTAAGATTTACCTTATACTCTCAGTGAATTTAAATTAGAAACTCGAGTTCGAATTTCCTTGTAGGAAAAAATATAACAGATTCCTCATTTCAGTCTAACTACAATTACCTTATATTCAAGCTTCCCGGATTTGGCTTACACGCAGAAAATTTGTCTTATTCCCCCCTGTAAGAGAGGATTTCTGCGCGATATCTTGGTCACTAAAGAAGGAAAAAGACAGGAGAGTAGGCTGAAGTATATTTTATTTAACGTTTAAAGGTGAAGGTTAGGTTTTACTATGAAGCCGCCTAAAATAAGCTCAATTAATTAGTTTATGATTAATTTATTTTTGCAATCCGAAATGAATTTCCAAGTCATAAATGTGATGGAAGATAACATGTAAAAACTACCCCTTTTCGAAGTTCTAGGAGATGACCTCGCAAATATTATATACTACTCAGAAATATAAAGATATGTATGTAAGTGTGGAAATTAAATAAAGCATTACTGCAGGACGCTGTTAAATTTATTGCTCGAAATTCCAAAAAAATGGAATGGCATAAGTGCATAACACGAAATTAAAACCTCATCCTTTTGTGAAATAACCGTGAATGCAACAACATAAGTACAGCTCAAATGGGGGAGGCGTGAAGGAGCAAGCAAACCCGGCCTGGCCTGCTGCATCATCACCACGTACAATCATTACACACAACTATATCATATCCCCCCCTAGCTCCTTTCCATTCCTATATAAACAACCTTACATGCTTTGCTAATTAAAACATACACAGTTGTCGCGTCGCATTCCATTGTTATCTCTCATTCTCATTAAGCCCGGGGAAAAGGTTTTCTTAACTCTTTCTCCCCCGACGACGACCGTACCGAGCGACCGGAGATCGTCCGCACATTATCTATCCGATCCAACGATGGAAAGTTTATCGGCCAATGTCTTTGGAATTATTGGTACTACTTTTTCTTCTCATCTCATCTCCAAATTAAACTTTCTTAGCTTGCTCCAAATAAGAGTTTTTATCCATTAATTATTATACTAATCAACAACATTATTAATTTTGTGTAGGAAATATTATGTCATTTTTGGTGTTTTTGGCTCCAATGTAAGTACCATACATTTATGCTCTCCATATTAGAAATTAAAGCTACCTCCTCGTTCCCAAAAAAAGATATGCCTAGCTTTCGTAGACATATTTTAAGTAAGTGAAAACTATATACTCTCTCCATTCTGCATATAAGTAATTCAAAAAATCATATGCATATAAGTAGTTCAAGAAATAAAATACACATCTTTAAATTACCTGATCCGAAATTCAAAAATGACATAATTGATTATTCCACATTTTTATCCTATTATTACTTCATTGATTCCAACTCAACTAAGCTGGATGCGTGACATTTAAAATACTGACTCGACAATTATCACTATGAGTTGATAACTGGTTAAATGAACATGAGATATAATTAGAACCTAGGGTTAAAAATTAAAAAACTAAAGCATACGTAGTGAAACTGAAAAACTGTAATAAATTTATATTTTAACCAGATAAATTACGAATAATGTTGTAAACAGAAATTAGAAAACTTTGAAGTTATATATTATGATAAAAAGTAATATATATATATATATGTATGTATGTATGTATGTATGTATGTTAATGCCTTGGATAGGTCTCGATGAGAGAAATCCAATGACAAATCTAATGAAAGAATCTGAGCTAGGAATTAAAAGTTTTGACCATATTAATAGTATTAGAAGTAAAAAGTGAGACTCAACAAGTTGGAAAAAAAATTGAAAAAAAACATGATAAGAATGGATTACTTAGTATGAAAATGGATAAAGGTTTGATAAAATATATCGTAGTTTCTTGTGAAAAGTAATTTTTATAATTTATTCTACCTTTTTTAAAATTTATTTTCCAACCAGTTCAATCTTATTTTTAATTTTTTTATACTTTTTAATGGTTATCGCTCTATTATATATCCATAACCCGGATCCTCTCACGTACAAATATACCATTAGATTTCTCTGATCGAGATCTATCCAATAAATCTGATTTTTATAGTGTTTTAGTTTTTCTGTTCTAAACCAGCATGTCAATTAGGTCTAGTTATAATGCATTTTTGGTTGGTTGTTGTATAGTAGTTTCCAATCCAAACTCATTAAAAGTTGGTAGCAATGAATTTGCGAATTAAAATGTAGACATTCTAAAAGTATTGATGTTATTTATTGAATTTTGAAGGATTAACATAAATCATGTATTTTTTGAAATACTTGCATGAGAATTTTTCTTTTTACTTCAAAAGAGCTACCTCTAGGAAGGAGATTATGGGGTTCCATAGTTTTCTATATTTTTGAAACGCTCACGCGATTGCTCTAAGAAATCTGTGATTTTATGCTATCTCAAAAATTTGATAATTAACATCATTGCATCTCAAAATTCACTGAAGTTTATACCAATACTTCAGAATGTAGGCCATTAAGCTGAATATGTAGAATTTTAAATGGTGAGTAGATAATTATATACGGAGTATTAGTTATTTGTTGGTAGCTAATAAAAAATAAATAAAATACCCAAAAGACTTGTGTGAGTTTTTCCAAAAATATTCCAATTATTTGAAGTTTTCCAAAAAAATTTCCAAATCCTAACGTAAAATGTGTTATAATTACATTGAAAAATTAACGCTAATTGATTTTTTTTCAAAAAGTTCACACAAGTTTTCTTTATTTTTTATTAGTTATCAACTCATACTTAATAATTGTTGAGTCACCATCTAAAATGCCATAGCTAGCAATGTAGAGTATTGATGTAAAATTGAAGAACTTCCCGGAAGCAATGATGCTAATTATAAATTCATTATAAGTTTGGGGGTGATAACATAAAATTGGAGATTTTTTAGAGTGTGCTTATGAATTTTTCCAAAAATCATTCTTTGTGAGTATATCCATGATTAGTATGCATTTTTTCTATGTTTCGTGAAGAGTTTATTTATTGAAAATTTACTCTTTTATATGAGATCTTACCCTCTCAAATTAGTACTTTTTTTGGACTGTCCAAAAATTAATTTTCTTCTTTCGTATTTCGGAAAGCCTGCTTTTTGTGACCCACGTCTTTCTCTCTTATATGCATCACTTCCAAAGACATAATTTTATTTTTTTACGCCTGTGTAAAGTAAAATTAAATTAAACTAGGGGAATGAATTTGAGACGGGGAGAGCATTTAATTTATTGCATAAAATACATCATTTAATTAGCTATGAGAAAACCTAATAAGATGTATGTATATATAATTGTCTCATGGACGGACGCATGCAGCCCGACATTCGTGAAGATATACAAGAACAAATCAACAGAAGATTTCCAGTCGATACCGTATTCAGTTGCACTGTTCAGTTCGATGCTGTATTTGTATTACGCCAACATCAAGAAAAACATGGTGCTAATCATTACCATCAACAGCTTCGGAATCGCAATCGAGACGATATATCTCGCGGCCTTCATGCTTTATGCCGCCAAAGACGCCCGGGTTTGTTACCTTCGTTACGTGGCTCCACCGTCACTTATTCGTGTTCCCTCGTTTCTCTCGTTCTTCTTTTTTCCTTTTTATATTATTATTATAATGAAAATTATTTGATTTCTTACGCATGCACAAAAACAAAACAAAAAGATATGCCAGTTTCTTTTTTCTTTGGACAAATTTTTTTTTTTAAAAAAAATATCTCAGAACGTATCTTCTATTTGAAAGCTGGATGGAGTGTAGTTTATGAAGTTTAAGTATTATTCCATCAGTCCCTGTAAACATGAGAGATTTTGATATTTAAGAGAATCAAATAGAGTGATATAAATGTCCTTAGATGTGATGGGTAAAACTAGAACTTGATGGATAGGTTAACAGTGAATAGATATGATGAGATAGATAAATTAAGAATTAGTAGGGGTAAATGTGACTTTTTAAAAGAAATGAGAAACATTTTTTTGGGAGGATTGAAAAAAGAAAGGAAAGAGGTTTTTAGGAACGGGGAAATATAATATGTGAATTTGATAAAACTTTTTTTAAATTTTGAGTTGCAAAAACATTTTTTTAATGGAAAAACATTTTTTAATAAACACGATGCAATACTCCCTCGGTTTGCAAATTCAATTTCCATTTTGACTTTTATCAAATTTATTTTCGTAATTTATCCTCTCAATTATATCTATGGTGTCGAAAAAAGAGAGAGCAATCAATGAAATAACTTGCAGTATTAAATTAATGTAGTATATTAGATAGAGTATATTAAAATGACTTTATTTGGATATACTAGTCATTTTTTACAAAAGTCAAAGGATGGAGTATATTTTTAATGTGAAAAAACTAGGTAGTAATTGACTAATTATTTCCAAAGGCATGCATCCCTAACAATTTTGAATCTGTACTCATCAATTTTTTAGTCCTCGGTAAAAATAATTTAAGAGCTAGCTTGCGTGTTCCAAACGCATCCTAAATAAATGTACTTTGTTATTTTTTTTAAAGTGATGGAACAAAAATTAATTAAATATATAAATTGATGAGATTGATTTGCAGATTTTCACATTCAAAGTGTTAGTTTTGTTTAACTTTGGAGCAATGGGGGTTGCCGTGGGACTGACTTACATGCTTTTGGATGGGCACTTGCGAATCACAATAGTTGGATGGATATGTGCAATCTTCTCCATCTGCGTCTTTGCAGCTCCTCTTAGTATTATGGTAATAATGAATACTTTCTCCGTTCCTAAAAGATCTTTTCTTTTCATTTTTATGTTGTCACCAAAAGATGTTTCCTTATCTATTAAAAATCACTTTTACTCTTTTACCTTTTCATACCTTAATTATCACATCATACCTCTTTACTAATAATCTATCCATCACATCTTACTTTTACCCATTACATCAAGGATATGTTTGAAAGTCAACACAAAATACCCTCCTTTAATTTCTCAAAAAGTCAATAACGGAAAATCTTTTGGAGAAGGAGGAAGTAGTATATACTATTACTAACCAATAAATGAAATTAAATAATGATCATTCCAATAATATATTTATGCTAGCTTTTTAAGTAGTGCAAGTACGTACTTAAATGCATGCATGCATGCATACGTATCATGCATGTGTTTAATGAAGTATATATTATTTGATGCATGTCTCGTACATGGTGCAGAGAAAAGTTATAAGGACAAAGAGTGTAAAATACATGCCATTCACTTTGTCCTTGGCCCTCACTCTTAGTGCCATTGTATGGCTTCAATATGGCCTTCTTATCCATGATTACTACGTTGCGGTACGTATATATAGTACCCACATATTTCATTTTATTTCAAGGTCATTTTTTTTCTTAGAACATACTACTTCCGTTCTAATGCATGTATTTGTTCAATTTGAATTTTTTAACTCAAATTAGACAAACTTTGAGCTCCAATTACTTTCAATTTGTATATTAGTACTCCCTCCGTTCCACAAAACTCTTCCTCTTCCATTTTTTTGCTTTCCACAAAACACTTCCAATTTCTATTAAAAAACAACTTTTATCCCTACTTTTTCATACCCTACCTATCACATCATACTTTTTTACTAATAACCAAACTATCACATCTTATTTTTTCCCATCACATCAGGGGCGAAATTAGAAAGTCAACCAAAATTATACTTTCCTTATTTTTTCCCAAAGTCAAAACCGGAAGGGTTTTATGGAACGGAGAGAGTACAATATAAAATAACACTTGAAAGTTTCCAACTGGAAAAATCTAATAAAAATATTTTTATACAAATACACATTACTATTTTTTTAAATTGAAGCTCAAATTTATTCTATTTGACGTGAAAAGTCAAACTGGACAAATACACTAGGACAGAGGAAGTATTAATTTTGTACATTATTTATGCTGCACGGGTATATAAATATGATATGATATGATACACGATAGATGCCAAACGTGTTGGGGTTTATTTTTGGAATGGCTCAAATGATCTTGTACGCCATTTATAAAAAAACACCGAGTAGGACGAGGGGAGTATTGCAGCAGCAGCACCCACCGCAGCCCACAATAGACAGCAAAAATGGAGATGATATCACCGTAACGGTTGACGACATGAACGAAGCAGTGGAGATGATGCAGCTTGAAAGTACTGCCAAAGGTGGAGGGGAAAACGATGAGGGGAGTCATATTCGTAATAATGATGACGACATTATTACCACTGCTGCTTAATAGATCCCCAACCCATCATCTAAAAGCTAAGAGCGAGGAAACTATATATTCCGTACTACTATGTGCTACATGTTCTGTTTCCCGCCCTATTTCCATTATAAATATACTATGCAATAATAGACATAATGTTTCTCTGAGTTTGAGTGTTGTTTGTTTGAGTTGAAGGAGTACTCTTACATATTCCATCCGAAAGTTTTAAATATAATTGCGTGTTTTCTATTTTTAGCCTTCTATTATGATTCCTATTCCTTTGTTTATATATAGGTACCTTCCACAAACAGTTTCCTTTAACTTCATTCCACCGTGTTGGCATTAAAATGGGGATAAATATATAATTTCACATCAACCCTATGTCCAGTCATATATTCTGATGTCGGCTTGACGGATAACACAAACAAATTGATCATGGTTGCGGACTTGGATTATTGAGACAAGTCACAAAAGTTGTAGACGTGCTACTCCCTTCGTCCAAAATTAAAAGACCTTCTTTCTTTATTTTTGTGTCCCACAAAGCCTTCAACTTTCTATTAGAAATCACGTTTACCCCTATTAAGTTTTACCATACATATCACATCATATATATACTTTTTTACTAATAATATACCGTAACCATCACATCCTAGTTTTACTCATCACATCAAGAGTATTTTTGGAAAGACAACAAAAAAAATATCACTCCTTAGCTTTAAATTTCCTAAAAGTCAAAATGAGAACATTTTAATAGTACATGAGAAGTATATAGTTGTGGTGCGCAGCGACTCCTGCAGAAAAACAACACTTCAACAATGACCTCTAGGATTGGCTATGGCAAAAATGATATAGTGTCGATGGGATCGAAACACCAACACGGTAGAAAGTCACACGAAGGACTACTTGTGAAAAGTACGTAACTCACATATAAAGGACCATTAACGTAATATTTGATAATAAATGACTAAATATGGAATGCACGTAGTTTTAAAGAACCAAATGTGGAACTAGTCTATTTTCCTCAATGGGAAATTCCCATAGACTACATTGACTTTTTTAAAGATTATGAATTTCAAACACTACGCGGAGCATACGAAAGTCCTAATGTCCTCACTAGAAAAACTCTTTTAAAGAGATAAAGATAATTAAACACTTTTTAAAAACAAAACATTATAGAACAAAAACAATCAAGTAGAATTCCATAGAACTATCTAGGGTCGTCTTAGGAGAAAAAAAACGATTCAGAAAAGATACAACAGAAAAAAATAATCACATCTAGTTGGCCATGTAATCTATCTCTCTTAGAAGATAACAGTTCTGCTGTTAATACTTAGTATCCCTGATGGGGAGTCTCTCTTACGAGCCGTATAGGTGACAAGACTTTCTAATCACCAATGTTAAAATTTTGGATAAAATTAGTAACTAGTTCAATCATACTACTGTAACAACTCAAATATTAATAAATAAATTATTTTTCTGTGATAAGATCATTCGCAAGTTGTTGAAAAGCATGAAACATTCTGTTACGACGGAAATGGACCCCATGCAAGCAAACGACGAGTCACAGGTGGAAAGGGACGATCACGAGAAGTCGAACGTGGGGCCCGAGAGGGTCAAGGAGCCTAGGCCAGAGGAGACACGTGGGGTACGTCGGAGTGGTCGGCCTAGGCAGCCGCCGGCGTGGCAAAAGGACTACACTGTTTAATATCATCATTATTTTAATTTCCCTTTATTGTATTTTAGATTTTTCTAGGTGAGCGAATCTATAAGCTCCTTCGAGGGTTTCTTTGCGGTTCTTTACCTCGTCGCTTTTCTTGAACCGCCAGGTTAGATAACGTAGTCAATTAGGTTAAGGATTAGGGTTTCTCATTGTCACTATAAAGTGGGATACGTACCACTCCCAAGAGATTAGAGAATAATATATCAAAACCCTATTTCCCTTCTTCTGGTTTTCTCGGCCGCCGTAGGTGTACGTGCGCCGTTTCTCTCTCTCTCTTCGTCTCTCTCTGTTCTGGAGTCCGGAGGCACTCGAAGCTCTCCTTACCCCGATACATATCGTATCACATTCCATGAACATGTACACAAGGGATTGCATCACTCATAGTCTATCGCCACGCGTGTAAATGCTATTTTCCAAATCCACCAAGTTATTGTACAAATAGTAATGGATATAGCAAAACGAGAAGTGTGGTTAAAAATATATCATTGTCACCATAGTTGGTAGCACCTATTTGTGATTCGTTTTTTCACACTGTTGAAGAAGGGATGTAATTTTTGGAATAGTTGTTGAAACACGGGTTTATCACGTTTTCGTACTAAAGCCGTGTTCGTTGTTATGACAGGTTTTGATAATGCCAAACCGCCATGAACGAGACAAGTCATTGAATATACAAGGCGAGAACCAAAGATGAGAAGAAAGAGAACAAGGGCCAAAAGAAGACCAAGAACGAAGACTGTAGTCTTAGTGTCGTTGAGTCGGTCACAATTGTGATCAAGACCGACCCAATCTTTACACCTTGGATCTTTAGGCTAAAATTCTTTTTCAAACATGTTTAAAACATTAAAAACACTTGGTGTTCACCCAAACCAAAAACCAAGCCATCCGGTGTTCGGGTTTCAGAAACCGGCGTTCGGCTTTCTATTTTCGGCATTGGTTTTTGGCGTCCGAACTAATCAAGTGGTTTTCAACTTTTTATAACTGGTTTTTACTTCTGGGCACATTTAAATAGTTTTCCATAAAAAACACTTCAAAAACCACCTTTCGTTTTTTGTCATTTGATAAAAACCATGCAAAATGGCATAAACTTGGCTAACCGTGGTTTTTACTTAAATGAAGTGGTTTTCAAGTCTTTTTGTGTAGGAATTGTTTTTGAATGCATTTAAATGGTTCTCCAATCAAAACATCATGAAAACCACCTTTCAGTTTTGTCTTTTGGTAAAAACCACCCGTGTACGGCATTGACTTGGTCATCCGTGGTTTTTACCTTAACGACGTGGTTTTCAACATACAAATCTTATTTTGACATCAAAATACATTAAATAAGTGTTCTAAACACTTAGTTTTTACTTTGGAGAACTTTGCATTTTTCTGTCGGGTTTTAGTGCCGGTTGGCTAAGCCATGGTTCTGGACTAGCCATCTACCCAGCGATGGTAGATTTCACCCATGCATGGGAAAGTGATCCCAGGATTCCAGAATCATTTCACCCAGCGATGGGTAAGCAGCCTTCAGCCCAATTGAATTCCAGAACCATGCCAAACAGCGATGGGAAGCTCTACCCATCGTTGTTCAAGCCTTGGTCCAACATTATCACAAGGCAGAATGCCCTTACCCAGCGATGGGAAGCTTTACCCATCGATGGGAACCTAGCGATGGGAAGGCTTAACCATCGATGGGAAGGCATGACCGTTGGAAGTCAGTTAAGGCTGATTCTTTCCTTGTTTGGAAGTCAACTTCCCACCCAGCGATGGGAAGCTTGTACCCATCGATGGGTAGGTGACCGTTGGCTTCAAAACTGAAGGGAAATTGGCTTACCAGCGATGGGTGAGTCCAAACATCGATGGGAAGCCAATATCCTGTAGATCCCAAATTTATTCAATCCCATAAATCAAGCCAATCACCCCTTTAATGTATTGGTCCGTTGGAGCCTACTTTGGCACTATAAATAGGGGTGTTTGGGTCTGCTTTTCTCATTAATGCACTTCACTTTATTCATATGATCATTGCATCCAAACAACATTATTTTCCATAGCTTTCTAGAGCCAATTTGTGAAGTTTGAGTTGTTCTTGAGCGTATATAGTTTACTCAACATCTACTCTTAAAGAGAGTCTTGTTCTTGAGTGTTCTTAGTGTTGTAAACACGTTTAGGGAAGCTTGTTTCCCTTGGTTGTACAAAGGAAAGGTATTTTCCTTCGGGTTGAAGTCTTGGAGTGCGGTATCTCCGAGCAAGTGTATTGAGGCTCGTGGGACTCGAGTTCTCAGGTTGTANTAGCTTTCTAGAGCCAATTTGTGAAGTTTGAGTTGTTCTTGAGCGTATATAGTTTACTCAACATCTACTCTTAAAGAGAGTCTTGTTCTTGAGTGTTCTTAGTGTTGTAAACACGTTTAGGGAAGCTTGTTTCCCTTGGTTGTACAAAGGAAAGGTATTTTCCTTCGGGTTGAAGTCTTGGAGTGCGGTATCTCCGAGCAAGTGTATTGAGGCTCGTGGGACTCGAGTTCTCAGGTTGTAACGGTTTGTTAAGCACCCATAAGGTTAACGGAAGTAGTGTAGCTCGAGAGAGTCTCTCGGGAGACTGGACTAGCCAAACGTTGTGGTGAACCAGTATAAATCTTGGTGTGCTCCCTTTACTCCTTTTTATTCCTCTCTTTACTTTATCCCTGCGATTTTTATTCCGCGAAAATTTATAAACATTCTCGTGCCTCACTATTCACCCCCCCCCTCTAGTGAAGGGCACTTATTCTAACAATTGGTATCGGAGCCTAACTCTCTACAAGCCTTAACCGGTTGAGAGAACGATCTATATTTTCTTTTTGAGAATGTCGTATGCAGGATTAAGCAAAGGACACTCCACTGTTAGACCTCCACTCTTCGATGGAACAAACTACACCTATTGGAAGGAAAGAATGAGGATTTACATTCGGTCAATCAACTTCCAACTGTGGTTAATCATCAAAAACGGTGAGACGATGCCAATGAAAAAGGTTGGTGAAACCACCATCCCAAAGACGAAGGAAGAATATGATGCTGAAGACATCAAGAAGGTAGAAGCTTTTGAAAAAGCTAAACACATGATTTTTTGTGCAATTAACCCGGATTACTACCGGAAAATTTCTTCTTGCTCCACCGCAAAAGAAATGTGGGATAAGCTTGAAGTGACCTACGAAGGTACGCCTCAAGTTCGTGAAGCTAAAATTGATTTTCTAACCCATGAATATGAGTTGTTTAAAATGAAGGAAATTGAAAGCGTTGATCAAATGTTCGTCCGATTTTTAAAGATCATCAACGATCTCCATGTCCTTGGTAAAACATACTCGAACAAAGATCTTGTTCGAAAAATCCTTTGGAGCCTAACACCGGAATGGCATTCAAAAGTCAATGCCATATATGAGTCGATTGGTAACACCAATGTCACCATTGATGGTCTTCGAGATAATCTTAAAACTTATGAATCCACTATTCTTAAATCTTCTCTTGACAACAGTCCCGGTCTCGCTCTCAAAGCCTCATCCTCAAAAAGGGTAGAGGTAAGTGACTCCGATAGCGATGACCATAATCCTTCTTATAACTTGCTCGAGAAGTTCCAAGAGTTTTTGAAGGAAGAACTTGGGTCCCGAGATTGTAAAAGAAAGGGGGAACCCCTTCCAACGTGCTTTGGTTGTGGAGAACTTGGCCACATAAAGCCATATTGCCCAAACCGCAAGGAAAAGAAAAAGAAGGAACGAGCATACATGGCATGGGATTCAGAAAGTTCTGGTGACGAAACTGCCACCTTATGTCTTATGGCTCATGAACGAAATGGAGAGGTAAGTGCTTCTAACTCTTTCTCATTTAAAGAATTACAAGAAGCCTTTCAAGAATTATTTGGTGAATTAAAGAAAACTTCAAAAATTGCCAAAGAGGCTAAGGCAAAAATTCATGCTTTGGAAGAGGAAAATAAATTTTTAGAAAATGATAATTTTGACCTCAAAAATAAAATCAAGGCAATGAATGAAGATTCTTTCTTTAACCAAAGTTCTACCTGTTCCTCTTGTGAGTCTTTAAAAGTAGAGAATGTAGAACTTAAGAGCACCATTGAAAAAATTAAGGTAGAAGAGCCTAAGAAACTTTGTCAAGAAGTTAAGAATGTTAAACCACCTTGAAGAACTAATAATCCTAGGTATAACAAAATTAATTTTAGAAAGAATAAAAGTAACAAGGTGAGACAACCTAGAATTGACTCTAGGATTTTTACAAATGGTAGAAATATTTTGAGACAACCTAGAAATGAGTCTAGGAATTTAGTTAATAATTCTAGGAATAATGATTTTAGATCACCTAGAATGTTTTTGGCTCAACCTAAGCATATGCATAATCCAAACGTAGTATGCCATTATTGTTCTAAGATAGGACACATAGCTCCCGTTTGTTTTGCTAAACATAGGGACACTTCTTATAATCATAATTATGATTTTTATTTGCCTAACCCCCAAGGACCTAAAAGCCATTGGGTACCTCAATGGTATTACTAGATACACAAAAGGGTGTGCTTGAAGACTACAAACCTGTAGTGGATGCTCCAAGCACGGAACCCAATGAACCGCATCAAGGGGGAAGCTCGTTTTACAATATTGTTGACAATTGATGCTCCAGGACATTTTCAAACATCGATGTTCAGTATCAAACATCAATGTTCAAGGAGTTCTTTTTTTTACAACTTTTTGAAGTGCTTTTTGCTAGGGGTGTTTGGGTCTGCTTTTCTCATTAATTCACTTCACTTTATTCATATTATCATTGCATCCAAACAACATTATTTTCCATAGCTTTCTAGAGCCAATTTGTGAAGTTTGAGTTGTTCTTGAGCGTATATAGTTTACTCAACATCTACTCTTAAAGAGAGTCTTGTTCTTGAGTGTTCTTAGTGTTGTAAACACGTTTAGGGAAGCTTGTTTCCCTTGGTTGTACGAATGAAAGGTATTTTTCTTCGGGTTGAAGTCTTGGAGTGCGGTATCTCCGAGCAAGTGTATTGAGGCTCGTGGGACTCGAGTTCTCAGGTTGTAACGGTTTGTTAAGCACCCGTAAGCTTAACGGAAGTAGTGTAGCTCGAGAGAGTCTCTTGGGAGACTGGACTAGCCAAACGTTGTGGTGAACCAGTATAAATCTTAGTGTGCTCCCTTTACTCCTTTTTATTCCGCTCTTTACTTTATCCCTGCGATTTTTATTCCGCGAAAATTTATAAACATTCTCGTGCCTCACTATTCACCCCCCCTCTAGTGAAGGGCACTT